GAGGAAGCTAGCAGCTATAGTTCCAGCAGCAGAGAGAGAGACTAGCTATAGTTCCAGCAGCAGAGAGAGACTAGCTATAGTTCAGCAGCAGAGAGACTAGCTATAGTTCCAGCAGCAGAGAGAGAGATAGTAGAAGAGAGACTAGCTATAGTTACAGCAGCAGAAGGAGCAGTAGAAGAGAGACTAGCTATAGTTCCAGCGCAGAGGAGAGACTAGCTATAGTTACAGCAGCAGAGAGAGACTAGCTATAGTTCCAGCAGCAGAGAGAGACTAGCTATAGTTCACAGCAGAGAGAGAGACTAGCTATAGTTACAGCAGCAGAGAGAGACTAGCTATAGTTCCAGCAGCAGAGAGAGAGACTAGCTATAGTTACAGCAGCAGAGAGAGACTAGCTATAGTTACCAGCAGGCAAAAGTAGAGAGAGACTAGCTATAGTTCAGCAGCAAAATAGTCAGCAGAGAGAGAGACTAGCTATAGTTCCAGCAGCCAGAGAGAGAGACTAGCTATAGTTCACAGCAGCAGAGAGAGACTAGCTATAGTTCCAGCGCAGAGAGAGAGACTAGCTATAGTTACAAGCAGAGAGAGACTAGCTATAAATTACCAGCAGCAGAGAGAGAGACTAGCTATAGTTCAGCAGCAGAGAGAGAGACTAGCTATAGTTACAGCAGCAGAGAGAGAACTAGCTATAGTTCCAGCAGCAGAGGAGATACGTAGCTAAGTGTTCCAGCAGCAGAGAGAGACTAGCTATAGTTACAGCAGCAGAGAGAGGACTAGCTATAGTTCCAGCAGCAGAGAGAGACTAGCTATAGTTACAGCAGCAGAGAGAGAGACTAGCTATAGTTCCAGCAGCAGAGAGAGAGACTAGCTATAGTTCCAGCAGCAGAGAGAGACTAGCTATAGTTCCAGCAGCAGAGAGAGAGACTAGCTATAGTTACCAGCAGCAGAGAGAGAGACTAGCTATAGTTCCAGCAAGCAGAGCAGAGAGAGACTAGCTATAGTTCCAGCAGCAGAGAGAGACTAGCTATAGTTCCAGCAGCAGAGAGAGAGACTAGCTATAGTTCCAGCAGCAGAAGAGACTAGCTATAGTACAGCAGCAGAGAGAGACTAGCTATAGTTCCAGCAGCAGAGAGGAGAACTAGCTATAGTTCCAGCAGCAGAGAGAGACTAGCTATAGTTCACAGCAGCAAGAGAGAGAGACTAGCTATAGTTACAGCAGCAGAGAGAGACTAGCTATAGTTCCAGCAGCAGAGAGACTAGCTATAGTTCCAGCAGCAAGAGAGGAGACTAGCTATAGTTCCAGCAGCAGAGAGAGAGACTAGCTATAGTTACAGCAGCAGAGAGAGACTAGCTATAGTTCCAGCAGCAGAGAGAGACTAGCTATAGTTCCAGCAGCAGAGAGAGAGACTAGCTATAGTTCCAGCAGCAGAGAGAGACTAGCTATAGTTACAGCAGCAGAGAGAGACTAGCTATAGTTACAGCAGCAGAGAGACTAGCTATAGTTACAGCAGCAGAGAGAGAGACTAGCTATAGTTACAGCAGCAGAGAGAGAGACTAGCTATAGTTACAGCAGCAGAGAGAGAGCACTAGCTATAGTTACAGCAGCAGAGAGAGAGACTAGCTATAGTTCAGCGCAGCACGAGAGAGAACTAGCTATAGTTACAGCAGCAAGAGAGATAGTAGCACTAAGACTATAGTTACAGCAGCAGAGAGAGAGACTAGCTATAGTTACAGCAGCAGAGAGAGGACTAGCTATAGTTACAGCAGCAGAGAGAGACTAGCTATAGTTCACAGCAAAAGACACTGAGAGAGAGACTAGCTATAGTTCCAGCAGCAGAGAGAGACACTAGTAAGAGATTAGCCAGCAGCAGAGAGAGACTAGCTTAGCAGAGAGGAGAGACATTGAGAGAGATACTATGTCAGGGGCAGGAGAGAGAGACTAGCTATAGTTCAGCAGCAGAGAGAGACTAGCTATAGTTCCAGCGGGACAGCAGAGAAGACTAGCTATAGTTCAGCAGCAAGAGAGACTAGCTATAGTTCCAGCAGCAGAGAGACTAGCTATAGTTCCAGCAGCAGAGAGAGACTAGCTATAGTTACAGCAGCAGAGAGAGACTAGCTATAGTTACAGCAGCAGAGAGAGAGCTAGCTATAGTTCCAAAACAGCAGAGGAGAGACTAGCTATAGTTACAGCAGCAGGGGAGAGACTAGCTATAGTTACAGCAGCAGAGAGAGACTAGCTATAGTTCAGCAGCAGAGAGAGACTAGCTATAGTTCCAGCAGCAGAAGAGAGACTAGCTATAGTTACAGCAGCAGAGAGAGACTAGCTATAGTTCCAGCAGCAGAGAGACTAGCTATAGTTCACAGCAGCAGAGAGAGAGACTAGCTATAGTTCAGCGAGAGAGACTAGCTAGTCGCAGCAGGAGAGACTAGCTATAGTTACAGCAGCAGAGAGAGACTAGCTATAGTTCCAGCAGCAGAGAGAGACTAGCTATAGTTACAGCAGCAGAGAGAGACTAGCTATAGTTCCAGCAGCAGAAGAGACAGCGACTAGCTATAGTTACAGCAGCAGAGAGAGACTAGCTATAGTTCCAGCAGCAGAGAGAGACTAGCTATAGTTCCAGCAGCAGAGAGAGAGACTAGCTATAGTTCCAGCAGCAGAGAGAGACTAGCTATAGTTACAGCAGCAGAGAGAGACTAGCTATAGTTCCAGCAGCAGAGAGAGACTAGCTATAGTTACAGCAGCAGAGAGACTAGCTATAGTTACAGCAGCAGAGAGAGGACTAGCTATAGTTCCAGCAGCAGAGAGAGACTAGCTATAGTTCCAGCAGCAGAGAGAGACTAGCTATAGTTCCAGCAGCAGAGAGAGACTAGCTATAGTTCCAAGCAGCAGAGAACGAGAGACTAGCTATAGTTACCAGCAGCAGAGAGAGACTAGCTATAGTTCCAGCAGCAGAGAGAGACTAGCTATAGTTCCAGCAGCAGAGAGAGACTAGCTATAGTTCCAGCAGCAGAGAGAGACTAGCTATAGTTACAGCAGCAGAGAGAGAGACTAGCTATAGTTCCAGCAGCAGAGAGAGACTAGCTATAGTTCCAGCAGCAGAGAGACTAGCTATAGTTCCAGCAGCAGAGAGAGACTAGCTATAGTTACAGCAGCAGAGAGAGACTAGCTATAGTTACAGCAGCAGAGAGAGACTAGCTATAGTTCCAGCAGCAGAGAGAGACTAGCTATAGTTACAGCAGCAGAGAGAGACTAGCTATAGTTACAGCAGCAGAGAGAGACTAGCTATAGTTCCAGCAGCAGAGAGAGACTAGCTATAGTTACAGCAGCAGAGACAGTAGTACACGAGCTATAGTTCAGCAGCAGAGAGAGACTAGCTATAGTTCAGCAGCAAGAGAGAGACTAGCTATAGTTCAGCAGCAGAGAGAGACTAGCTATAGTTCAGCAGCAGAGAGAGACTAGCTATAGTTCAGCAGCAGAGAGAGACTAGCTATAGTTCCAGCAGCAGAGAGACTAGCTATAGTTCACAGCAGAGAGAGACTAGCTATAGTTCACAGCCTAGGCAGAGAGAGACTAGCTATAGTTCAGCAGCAGAGAGAGACTAGCTATAGTTACAGCAGCAGAGAGAGACTAGCTATAGTTCCAGCAGCAGAGAGAGACTAGCTATAGTTCCAGCAGCAGAGAGAGACTAGCTATAGTTACAGCAGCAGAGAGAGACTAGCTATAGTTCCAGCAGCAGAGAGACTAGCTATAGTTCCAGCAGCAGAGAGAGACTAGCTATAGTTCCAGCAGCAGAGAGAGACTAGCTATAGTTACAGCAGCAGAGAGAGACTAGCTATAGTTCCAGCAGCAGAAGAGACTAGCTATAGTTCCAGCAGCAAGAAGAGACTAGCTATAGTTCCAGCAGCAGAGAGAGACTAGCTATAGTTCAGCAGCAGAGAGAGACTAGCTATAGTTAGCAGCGAGAGAGAGACTAGCTATAGTTCCAGCAGAGAGAGACTAGCTATAGTTCCAGCAGCAGAAGAGACTAGCTATAGTTCCAGCAGCAGAGAAGACTAGCTATAGTTCCAGCAGCAGAGAGAGACTAGCTAAGTTCCAGCAGCAGAGAGACTAGCTATAGTTCAGCAGCAGAGAGAGACTGCTAAGTTCAGCAGCAGAGAAGACTAGTATAGTTCCAGCACAGAGAGAGACTAGCTATAGTTCAGCAGCAGAGAGACTAGCTATAGTTCCAGCAGCAGAGAGGACTAGCTATAGTTCCAGCAGCAAAGCTAGCTTAGTTACAGCGCTAGCTAAGAGAGAGACTACTAAGTTCACGAGAGAGTACTAGCTATAGTTAGGCAAGAGAGACTGCTATGTTCCAGCAAAATCAAGACAGAGAGCTGCTATAGTTCCAGCAAACAAAAGAGAGACTAGTAATCCACAGCAGAAGAATAGCTAATCCAGCATAGAGACAGCTATATTCCAGCAGCATAGATAGACTATAGTTACAGCAGGAGACTGCTATAGTAAGCAAGATGAGGACAGCTTAGTACACAGCAAGAACTATATAGTACACAGAAGGACTAGCTATATCCCAGAGAGAGACTAGCATAGTTAGCAGCAGAGACTATATAGTTCAGCAGCAAGAGAACAAGACAGAAAGAACTAGTTACAAAGTGGAAGCAACAGCTTCTACAGTATATAGAGGTACTATGGGGGATCAGATGAAACTGAGAGCTACAAGACAATATCATGTAGCTGCTGATTTAATGATGTCGTGTCACAGCAGGTGATAACCCCAAACTGGTCTCTCTCCTAATATACATCTCTGCTCTTCTCGAACAAATTGTGGTTAACACCCATGAACCAAAAACTAGATTATACGATGAACAGACTGAATGAGATAAAGCGACAACACGTAATCCATAGCGAGTGAGCCAACATCTATGCCAACCCCACCCCATAATGATTCACTAATGATTTCCAGCTAGCTATAGTTCCAGCAGCAGAGAGAGACTAGCTATAGTTACAGCAGGGGAGAGCAGATGGACTTGCTACAGTTATAGCGTGGGAGAGGGGGGTAGTAGTGGGAGGGGGAGTCAGGATTGGAAGAGAAGCGCTGAAGAGCTGCTGTCACAAGACAAATTATGATTTCATTTGATGGTAGCTTTCTGACACTGTCATCTTGGCAGGCATTACATTTAATTTTAAACAGAATCTGAGTCAGTTAGGTCCCACCAGGCAGGTGAAGAATACAGACATTTAAATACGTATGAGATCATCAGACATCTGCAGTGCTCTTCTCTTTTCTCTCTCCTCTCTTTCCTCTCTTCGTCATTCCTTAACATCATGTGCCTAATAGCATCCGATGTCGACAGGCTCGTACATTCCTTAGGTAACAGCAGTGTGGAACACCAGAACGGAACAAATAGAAACATCCCAGATAGCGGAACAGAGACTAGAAACATCCCAGATAGTGGAACAGAGACTAGAAAATAGAAACATCCCAGATAGCGGAACAGAGACTAGAAACATCCCAGATAGTGGAACAGAGACTAGAAACATCCCAGATAGCGGAACAGAGACTAGAAACATCCCAGATAGCGGAACAGAGACTAGAAAATAGAAACATCCCAGATAGCAGAACAGAGACTAGAAAATAGAAACATCCCAGATAGCGGAACAGAGTGGAGAACAGTCACTACAAGCTGTTCACTAACAGCCGTGCCAATCCCCATTTAGCCCTGTAGTGAGCTCACTACATACCTAGGATTAGGAACCAAACCCCACCCCACTAATGATTCATCCTGAATGTTGTGCCATGCTAATCCCCATGCCTCCACAAAGACCCTGCTCTCTCTGCATATGTACACCACATGACCAACAGTATGTGGACGCCTGCTCGTCCAACATCTCATTCCAAAATCATGGCCATTAATATGAAGTTGGTCCCCTCTTTGCTGCTATAACAGCCTCCACTCTTCTGGGAAGGCTTTCCACTAGATGTAGGGAGAACGCTTATTTTATGGCTTATAAAAGTGTTGACATTGCTGAATAACAATTTAAACATGAACTTACTCAAAAACAGCAGCGCTCCGCCGTATTCGTTGAGTCTCTCTCTAGTCATGATTTCTTTTTAATTTTAATTTTTTGAAATCTCACAGTATCGACTTTCCTGTTCGTTCTAGGCTTGCTTTTACAGTCTATGGCTCAAGGAAACTGTGGAGGCATTCAAACCTTTAGCCACATATAATGGTTCCAAATGGGAACACTGCCTTCCCAGCGCTAGGGCTGCTGATAATAATAGCAAGGCGTTGGGTTTTTTACAGAAATGTTTGGTGATCGACTACGAATGCCTTTTTTTACTAGCTATGAAACAAAAAACGGCAGAAATACTTTGAAAACAGCTACTGCGGAGCCCTGACCACCAGCCAACATGGCTGGTGAAATAGACATCTTAACCGCCAACATCTACCTGAATTTTGCTTCTATCCTGCACAGCTTAGCCAATGTTCGCAAACCATGACGAAAAAAATAACATTCAAATCGCTAATTAGACCGCGTGTCTGTGTCTTGCTGCATTCCACCTCTGGGCAGCCGAGCATGTATCCGGACCGGTGAAAAGAGTGAAAATGGGCGAGATGGTTTTGCGTCGTCCTGGTGCCACAGTTATGCCGATATCATGGCAAGCGTTAATTGCTGAATGCAACTCAGCAGCTAAGAACATAAAATCACTAGACTGCCTGTTTGTGTGGTGCTTATGTTGGCAATAGTGACAAAGTAACGTATTTTGTGTAAAACATGTAGCCTACTCCTCCTGAAAAACATGAAATCAGGCTTATGCTTACGGAGGCATGGAATGCAATAGTTAGAACGGTTTTTGTGTACAACATGAAGTTTGTGGGCTACACCAGTGACAAGACAAAGGTGATCAAGGAGGGGGGAGCGGAGCACTCAGCACAGCAGCAAGGTAGTGGGAATGTGGTTAAGAGCGTTGTGCCAGTAACCGAAAGGTCGCTGGTTCTAATCCCCGAGCCGACTAGGTGAAAATTCTGTCGATGTGCCCTTGAGCAAGGCACTTAACCCTAATTGCTCCTGTAAGTCGCTCTGGATAAGAGCGTCTGCTAAATGACTAAAATGTCAACGTAAAACAAGCCATCGAGAAATGAGGAGCATCTTGACAGGGTTAAAACCTCTCCATTAACCTGCCAGAGAGGAAAACCACTCTGTTGCTACTAGGGAGTACTGAGATTTAACAACAGGGTAAAAAGAATGGGGTGATGACGCACAAGGCCGCAGCCCTCTAGACTGAGATAACAGGGGTTTTCTGCCATTGAAATCCTTGGGTCGGCCTTTAAAACTGAAAAAAATACCGTAATTTTCGGACTATAAGCCGCGCCTTTTCCCCCATTTTTCGACCCCTGCGGCTTATATAACGGTGCGGCTAATCTATGGATTTTTACAGCTAACGGCCACTAGAAGACCTCCTAAATCTATGGATTTTACAGGTTACAGTCCACCAACTTTAACTCTATGGGCTCTATGACCGGTCCAAGCCCCCCCACCTTTAAGCGGCGGGCTCCAGCAGGAAAAGCTGGAGGCCGGAAAAGAGTGAGACAGGTAGCGCGCAAAAGTAAAAGTGGAACCGAGAGTGGTACGAGAGACAGAACGAGAGACAGAACGAGAGCAAGACAGACAGACATTACGAGAGCGAGACAGTTTGTCTCTTTCCCGACAATCCCCTCTGGCACGAACCCTTACATATGGTAATTAAACATTAAAACACCTGCGGCTTATAGTCCAGTGCGGCTTATATATGTACACATCATTCAATTTAGCTGCTGCGGCTTATACTCCGGTGCGCCTTATAGTGCGGAAAATACAGTAATAATATCTCAGCTCCAGAATATAGAATCACAGAAAATTGGATTTAAAACTGCAACATTTTCTCTCAGCTGAATGGCAAAATGTGTAGAATTGAAAGAAATTAGCTTTAAAGCTGCAAAAATATATCTCGGCTCCATGGAGAAATGTATAGAAAGCCCCTTTTTCATCCAGAAAAACCTTGACACTCTCCTCCTCCTCCCATACGGGGTACGAGAGAATGAAAGACAGCAGGGCAGAGTACAATGGAAGATCTGACAAAAAGGAAAGCAGTGGTTCAATCCATGGAAGCAATTTGAATAAATTCAGAGGGGGCTTCATAGGGCACCAAACTGAATAAATGTTTCCTTAAAGTACAGGCAGAAATATAAGGCCAAATTATCCATTAGGCAAATCATATGATAATTTCAGAAATTCTGCATTTCCACTTGAACTAGACAAAGTGGGCCCTTCAAACAACAGGTTTTCAATTAATAGGTTTGCTAAAGGGGGGGTGGCAGCAAGTGTAGCCTAATAACAGATAGAGAAACTGAAAAGGGAAGGAAGGAACTTGAGAAAATGGCACAAAAACATCCACCGGTTTGTAGTTTTACCTATGCCAGTGGTCCCCAACCCTGGTCCTCCGGTGCACCCCAACAGTACACATCTTCATTGTAACCCTGGACAAGCACACCCGATTCAACTCGTCAACTAAAATCATCAAGCCCTAAAATTAGTTGAATGAGATGCGTTTGTCAAGGGCTTCAACAAAACTGTACTTGTTGGGGGGGTACATCGAGGACCAGGGTTGGGAAACACTGGCCTATGCTTCTCATGAAAAGGGGTTTTCGCGTAAGTCAAGTCTATATAGCAACTGTACCTGACCTGTACACATCCATGTGGATGACGTACAGGCCTACTCATCCATAAAAAAAGTGAAAAGGGGTTTCAAGGCCTGCGGTAGGTTAACGGTACCTTGCTTGCGGACATCCTCCACGGCAGCAGTGAGCTCGTCCTTGAGGAACTGGCTCTCCTTGGCGATCTTCTCTCCTTTATCCAGGAAGTTCAAGGTGGCGGTCTCCACCGAGGCGGCCAATACATGGGCCTTCTTAGAGCGTCCCTTCTTCTTATTGGACGGCCCCTTGTTGCTGGAGTTCACCAGGGTCGTGACCTTTAGGAGCAGGACGAGAGGTCAAATGTCTTGAGGGGGCGAGACGCCTAAACACTGCTTCTGAAAGTCACTGACTCTACAGCTAAAGATAAATAAATAAAAATGTCTACAGCCACAGCTAGCCAACTCGTCTTTGAGTCCATACTAAAACAGTAGAAGTAGCTAGTGTCGTTCAAGCCTTTAGGGCTAGATAGATGTGCCCTTGAGCAAGGCACTTAACCCTAATTGCTCCTGTAAGTCGCTCTGGATAAGAAGCGTCTGCTAAATGACTAAAATGTAAATGTAATACCAATGTACCAATCAAAACCATCATGAATGCATGACCACCAGTTCTAAAATAAATCATATAGTCTACCAGTAGGCTTACAGCATTTATGACCGACGTCATCATTTATCAAATTGACGTATTCTATGAAAATGCATGCATTGCTCTCAAAATGTATGGTCGGGGATGCTAACTGGTGAGGGCCTTCATAGGAGACTGTTATTCACAATACCAACGTTTGACTAACGACGTGACACCAGGCCAAGTAGTATGGTGATACCACAGGGTTTAACGCGCAGCTGTCACGCGGGATATTCGACGAGGCACTCATTCTTATATGACATCACGATCTGAATTCTGATATTCTATTTGTACGATGCCCGTGGTAGGGACGCATTCTGTCTGCTCAGTCATTCATTTAGATCGTGATGTCATATTTTCAGATCGTAACAGTGAATATGGCCAAAGAATGACAAGTTTGCATCCCTGATATATTGTTTAAATGTGTGTATATATATATTCTGACCTGCGTGACCAAGGGCTCCAGCAGCCTCTCCACAGCCAGGGTGCGGATCTCCAGGCTCTTTGGGTCCCATTTGAAGTTGATGTTGGCCGTGTTTATGGTTGTCATGTTCACTCTGTATCTGAGGAGGAGGAGAGGAGAGAGGGATGGTTACTGAGGAGGAGAGGAGAGAGGGATGGTTACTGAGGAGGAGAGGAGAGAGGGATGGTTACCGAGGAGGAGAGGAGAGAGGGATGGTTACCGAGGAGGAGAGGAGAGAGGGATGGTTACCGAGGAGGAGAGGAGATAGGGATGGTTAACTGAGGAGGAGAGGAGAGAGGGATGGTTACTGAGGAGGAGAGGAGAGAGGGATGGTTACTGAGGAGGAGGAGAGAGGGATGGTTACCGAGGGGAGGAGAGGGATGGTTACCGAGGAGGAGAGGAGAGAGGGATGGTTACTGAGGAGGAGAGGAGAGAGGGATGGTTACTGAGGAGGAGAGGAGAGAGGGATGGTTACCGAGGAGGAGAGGAGAGAGGGATGGTTACCGAGGAGGAGAGGAGAGAGGGATGGTTACCGAGGAGGAGAGGAGAGAGGGATGGTTACCTGAGGAGGAGAGGAGAGAGGGATGGTTACGAGGAGGAGAGGAGAGAGGGATGGTTACCGAGGAGGAGAGGAGAGAGGGATGGTTACGAGGAGGAGAGGAGAGAGGGATGGTTACTGAGGAGGAGAGGAGAGAGGGATGGTACTGAGGAGGAGAGGAGAGAGGGATGGTTACTGAGGAGGAGAGGAGAGAGGGATGGTTACTGAGGAGGAGAGGAGAGAGGGATGGTTACCGAGGAGGAGAGGAGAGAGGGATGGTTACTGAGGAGGAGAGGAGAGAGGGATGGTTACTGAGGAGGAGAGGGATGGTTACTGAGGAGGGAGAGGAGAGAAGGGATGGTTACTGAGGAGGAGAAGGAGGGATGGTTACTGAGGAGGGAGAGAGGGATGGTTACTGAGGAGGAGAGGGATGGTTACTGAGGAGGAGGAGGGTATAGGAGAGGGATGGTTACTGAGGAGGAGAGGGATGGTATGGGAGAGGGATGGTTACTGAGGAGGAGAGTGGTATGGAGAGAGGATGGTTTACTGAGGAGGAGAAGGGATGGTTACGAGGATGGAGAGGAGGAGAGGGATGGTTACCGAGGAGGAGAGGGATGGTTACTGAGGAGGAGAGGAGGAGAGGGATGGTTACTGAGGAGGAGGGGAGGAGAGAGAGGGAGGAGAGGGATGGTTACTGAGGAGGAGAGGAGGGAGGAGGGATGGTTACTGAGGAGGAGAGAGAGGAGAGGGATGGTTACTGAGAGAAGGAGGAGGGAGGTACGGAGGAGAGGAGAGGTGTTACTGAGGAGGAGAGGAGAGAGGGATGGTTACTGAGGAGGAGAGGAGAGAGGGATGGTTACTGAGGAGGAGAGGAGAGAGGGATGGTGAGATTATGACAAAATGGATGCCTGGAGCTTGGCTGGGTCATTCATCATGACAACAACACAGCACACTTACCCCTGGAGGTACAACACATTTCAACTGACCTCTGACCTGTGTGCAGCATAGAACATTATTGGGCCATCTAGCCTAGATTAGGGCTACCTACCTACACACATCATCATGAAAACTATAAGGCCTTACACTGCATTTAATCAAAAAAAAGCTGTGAAACCCATTGAAAAACATGTTTATTGAACTCAAATCATGCTACACCGATCTGGGAAACCCTGCTGCAGCCCTGGCTAAACAAGAGCCACTGCAGCCCTGGGTGCTGCCCAAATGGCACCCTATTCCCTATGTAGTGCACTACTTTTGACCAAGGCCCACAGGAAGCTAGGCAAAAGTTGTGCACTATATAGGGAAAAGGGTGCTATTTGAGCAGTAACCATGGTGTTGTGACATTTGGTACAGTCCCCTTTATACATATGGATGCTCCCTCTTCAGAGGAGACAGGTCTCCCTCCATCACCGTTAGACAGACGGCCATAAGTGGAGCAGAGTAACATTGTGGCCCTTCTTCGATTTTCCTTTTCATGCAGCGACTGGCCTTGTATTGATTAGTCTTCACGCACTGAGTGGCAGGGACAATCAGGATGCCCCGAGGGCCGAGCAGGTCTGGACCCAGGACCCTGTCTGCCTGGCCGAGCAGGTCTGGACCCAGGACCCTGTCTGCCTGGCCTACACTTGGGGGGGGGGGGGGGGGGTCTGTGTCTCAAATGTAACCCCATTCCCTAAATAGTGTACTACTTTTTGACCAGGGTCCCATCTAGTAGGGTGTTCAATCAAGAACGCATTCTTTGACCAATGGGTAAAATAATATATGTTAATTAACCTCTTAAGGATCGTACCCTTTTTTTCAATTTTCGCCTAAAATGACACACCCAAATATAACTCTGTAGCTCGGGACCTGAAGCAAGGATATGCATATTCTTGATAACATTTGAAAGGAAACACTTTGAAGTTTGTGGAAATGTGAAATTCATGTTGGAGAATATAATACATTAGATCTGGTAAAAGATAATACAAACAAAAAACATGCGTTTTTTTTGTTCCATCATCTTTGAAATGCAAGAGAAAGTCCACAATATAATATTGCAGTTTAGGCGCAATTTAGATTTTGGCCACTAGATGGAAGCAGTGTGTGTGCAAAGTTTCAGATTGATCCAGTGAAGCGTTGCAATACTGGACTATTTTGTATCAAGTCTGCCCAAATGTGCCAAATTGGTATATTTTCAAGTATATAACTATAGAGAACATACAAAAATCATATGGTAATACAAAATGTAAGTTTACACACTCCAAGGAATGTCATACATGATGGATCATTAGCTTATACACTAACTTTCACACATCTAGATGGCCGGGCGGGGTGGGTGTGGAGCCAGAGACAGCAGGGGTTCAAACTGTAGAACCCAGTTCCTACATTTGAACATAAAAATTGATTTTATCAAACAAAACTATGCTACATTTTTATCTCTGGGACCCTTAGGATGACAAATCAGAGCAAGATAACTGAACGTACGTACATTATTTTCATTTTAGTCATTTAGCAGACGCTCTTATCCAGAGCGACTTTTTTGTTTTTGGAGGGGGGGAAACTCATTCTGCTTGGCTGGGACTGGCTCCCCTGTGGGTCGGCCTGGCTCCCAAGTGGGTGGGCCTATTCCCTCCCAGAACCAACCATGGCCCTGCCCAGTCATCTAAAATCCATAGATGAGGGCCTAATAAAATGTATTTCAATTGACTGATTTCCTTATATGAACAATAACTCATCAAAATCCTAGAAATGTTTGCATATTGCATTTATATTTTTGTTCAGTATAATTAGAGCGGTTAAAATACATTTGTCATACCCGTGGTATACGGTCTGATATACCACGGGTGTCAGCCAATCAGCATTCAGGGCTCGAACCACCCAGTTTATAATTAAGCAATAAGGCACGAGGGGGTGTGGTATATGGCCAATATACCACGACTAAGGGCTGTTCTTATGCACGACGCAACGCGGATTGCCTGGATACAGCCATTAGCCATGGTATATTGGCTATATACGACAAACCCCAGAGGTGTCTTATTGCTATTATAAACTGGTTACCAACATAATTAGAGCAGTAAAAATACATGTTTTGTCATACCCGTGGTATACGGTCTGATATACCACGGCTGTCAGCCAATCAGCATTCAGGGCTCGAACCACCCAATATATAATTGTGCATATAATCCTTCAAGAACACCAATGGTCCGAACCTCATGTCTCTATAATAATCAGTTCAAATGTTATTGGAGTTTTTATTACCCTTGTAGGGTGGCCAGCATTAGGGTGACTATATCAATGGAAGATATGAATGCATTTTATTTTATGGTATAAAAACGCTGAATTCTGCGTTCATGCGACCCGACGGATATGCATTGAGACAAGACATATATTTACATATTTTAGTAAATGCTTTTCATACTCATTCGAAATTCCTGTTTAAAAAAAAAAAGATTTCCTACAAAAACATGTGCATTTACATTGACATTTTAGTCATTTAGCAGACGCTCTTATCCAGAGCGACTTACAGTTAAGTGAGTGCATATATTTTCATACTGGCCCCCCGTGGGAAACGAACCCACAACCCTGGCGTTGCAAACGCCATGCTCTACCAACTGAGCTACATCCCTGCCAGCCATTCCCTCCCCTACCCTGGACGACGCTGGGCCAATTGTGCGCCGCCCCATGGGTCTCCTGGTCGCGGCCGACAGAGTCTGGATACGAACCAGGATCTCTAGTGGCACAGCTAGCACTGCGATGCAGTGCCTTAGACCACTGCGCATCTCTGAACTGTCAACAGAGCACTGCGCATATACCAAGCATTTTATTTTCCAAGCCTTTTACATTCAATTCAATTCAGTATGAAAATGTATGCACTCACTAACTGTAAGTCGCTCTGGATAAGAGTGTCTGCTAAATGACTAAAAAATTAAAAATAATTCAGCTCCTGTCATGCTAATTCTGCTTTTTGGGAAGGGGGGGGGGGGGGGGGGCAGTTCAGCTGGGTTTAGAGGGTGGGGTAGGGGGTCATTGGTATGACAATGGCGAAATTTAGGCCAAACGCAGTCAAGAAAGAAAAATCTACAACCGAATCTATCCAAGTCAACTAGCTAGCTAGGCCTAAATAAATAACATGTAGATAGTGATAAATGGTAGGGTTATGATCATTTATTTCTGGTGGGCCTATTTATAGAAAACTGGCTATGTTTACAATATGATTGGAGAAGATGTCAGATTGAGATATCTAGTCGAGGATATGCGGACGGCAACAGTCAAGTGATTGAGCTGTAACTATTATTCCATTTAAAGAAATGGAAAATTACATTTTTTGTAAACTTTGGCAGTTCAGGCTAGGAGCATCATTAAGGCACTGATTACAACGGATGGGTACACTCTCCCCACCCAGGCTGGATGCGTTTGAACTGGGACGTTGGAATTGTTAGTTAGTTAACTAACAAGTCTTCACTTAACTAACTTACAAAACTAATACTATTTCTAGTTTGTCCTTACATCTGAGCTGGGTTTGCGATAATGACAAACATTTGGTGGTTGGGCGACGAGTTAGTTGGCTGTGACTAATTTAGCTAACTGTGGCTAACTTAGTTAGCTAACGAACGACGTCGTGACAAGTGGCCACATCGCACATCCCACGCAACTTCAAAAAGTTACTCCTATGACTGTTGAAGTTACCAACAACCATAACATAATTTAAAGTTGGTCAGTAAATGGACTAGTTAGTCAATAAACGTTAGTACAGTATTTTCAACACTGTTTACTAACTAGCCAGGTGTAACTAACGTTAGCTAGCACAATACTAGCGAGACTGACTGGAGAGACCCCGTACAATTGAGTTTCGTATTACGTTGAAACAATTAAAAAATAATAATTGTGACAAATAGTCAATGTAACGGACTAAAACGAGTAGACAACCAGCTACTTTTGTAACTAACGAAAAACAAACTTCAATCACGGTGAAAACTTACCGAAAGACAATACACTTGAAAACTTGTCCAGCTAAAAAAAAAAACACCCCAAAATGGTGGAATGGAATCGGGAATTCGTCCAGTGATTCAAAGTTTTCCTCTTTCCCAACCAACGTTACTCCCTCGAGTTGTAGGGAAATCAAGCTTCGATACTTTATGGATGTTTTTTAGTAAACTATTGAAAAGGCACAGCATACGAGTGACGATGGATGTCGGAATACAAAAAGGATTCCGCAACTTTGATAAGGTTTTCGGTCAAGAACGGTTCGCTGTTCCCGGAAGGGTGGATCAACAATAGGGGGGGTGTCAGTGTGCTGTTTCCTGAAGTCAAGGAATGGCAGACCCGGGAGGCTCTGACCGGACAAAAGCCTTATCAGGTGTTTAGGGCGGGGTGCTGAAACGGCAATGCTTTACCTTGTAAGGACCTAATGAGGATTTTCTAATGAAACCTACTGGAAGGAATTTCTTATTTATTCTAGTTAATCAGTTTAGCTGGAGTAGCTATCACATTTCCAGGGGCAAGGTTTGCGCAATTATTTAATTGAACCTGTAATTCATGATGTTTTTTATAGCCTATTTAGCCTAACCAGTAGCCCAAGAAAAATGTAATAAAACATCAAAACAACAAGTTCAATGAAATAGGCCAAGGGTTCTTAAACTTTTTCAGCTCAAGACCCAATTGAAAAATTTACCGTCCTCCCCTTGTTCCCAAATCATCCAACGACCCAAACTCAAATCTAGCATCGGTATTGCTTTTTAGATTATAATGAATGGACAGGGAGAACCTTTTTTTTTGTCATTTAGCAGATGCTCTTATCCAGAGCAATTAGGGTTAAGTGCCTTCCTCAAGGGCACATCTACAGATTTTTCACCTAGTCGGCTCAGGGATTAGAACCAGCGTCCTTTCGGTTACTGGCACAACACACTTAACCACTAAGCTACCTGCCGCTCAGATCAGCACTCCTACTCTGGGACACTTTATCAATATAGGCCCTGGCCTTAAGACCTTTGCACTGTACAATGTTTGCCGTCCCAAACAAAATTTCCACTCGTGGGCAAATTCTTAAGTCTTAAACGATTGTCGGCCGTCTTGGCTCATTCAGTGTGACAGGGTCTAGGTCTGCCATTAAGTACCGCTACGTGCGGTCGTATGCCACGTTCAAAACAACTGGGAACTTGCAAAATACGAGACCAAATCATGACTTCGGTGATCTTCAGGTCGAACTATCGGAACTCTAGAAAGAGGCCCGAGTTCCAGAGTTAGAATTACGAGTTGGATGACCGTCCCCAGCTCAAGGACAGAACTACATAAAAAAATGTTAAAGGCACACGTAGCCTACATATCAATACATACACACAAACTATCTAGGTCAAATAGGGGAGAGGCCTTGTGCCGTGAGGTGTTGCTTTATCTGTTTTTGAAACCAGGTTTGCCGTTTATTTGAGCAATATGAGATGGAACGGAGTTCC